ATTTTTGTGTGTTTTTTGTTTATGTTTTTGGTTTTTGGGGGTGGAGATAATTAGGTTTATTTGTTTGTTTGTTTATTTTAGAGGAGGGACTGGGGATTGAACTCAGGACTGCATGCATGCTGAGCATGCGCTCTACCATTTGAGCCACACCCTCCTCCATCTTTCTCTTGACTATTGATAGAAGGCTCTGGGGCTGAACAATTCCTCTGAGACAGAAAAGATAATCAAAGGTGAAGGTTTTGCCATGGGGAACAGGAACCAGCTGTGACTCTAACTGACCAAATCTTGCCTTCACATTCTCCTTTTCAGATCTCCATAAATAACCAGCTCCCCAAATCCCCCCCAGGAACCATCTTTACTATCTGGCTGGTTCCCTCATTCATGACTTAAGCAACCCTCCAGCCCACGTTTTTGCATATTCATATGAGAGTTAGCTGTTAATTTTGGAAAACCACACCAGTGAAGTCTCGATGACACAACAACGTGACCTGACACCTGTTTCCAGGTACACAAACCACCCCACGCCCCCAGCACCTGTGACAGACATTACTAATTGATCACAGACCCCTCAGACTCTACTTAAGGCCCTGGGCAGCCAGCCACCACCCGTTCCTTTGCAATCACACCCATTCACCATTCCTCTAGTAGAAGGTGGCCCCAGCACTGGAGCCCTGTCCGAGGGAGCCGACGGCATCTCCGTGGGAGGCGGTGCGTTTCTGCGTGCTCAGTGAGCAGTTGGTGGAGTGGTTTCCTTCATTTGACATCTTGGAAAAAAACATCTTTTAAACAAGGTTCCTTTCTGCTTGCTGGGCCTCGGGCTGCAGGTCAGAGAGGAACAGGATTTTTAGTCCTTGCCTTGGGAGGTTCGGAGACCCAGGAGGACGAGGGGCAGGTGGTGGCAGTGGAGTGTACTTTGTTTACACCCTAGAGCTCCCACTTCTTGTATGACCTTGGGCAAGTCACTTCCCCTGCCCTCAGTTTCTTCTCCCGTGAGTTGGAGTAATCATAAGAAGTTACTTCTTGTAAACCTTATTTAACATAGGCTGTTGATTCATTCACATTGCTTTTTTTTAAAATTTTTTTAGCGGGGGAGGTAATTAGATTTTTATTTGTCTTTAATGGAGGTACTGGGGATTGAACCCAGGACCTTGTACATGGTAAGCCTACACTCTGCCACTGAGCTATACCCTCCCCCCCCCACATTTCGAACATTTTGAACAGCGAAATCACCAACAAAGATGCAAAAGATGTGGCCCTGAACAGCCCACAGGAAACTCTGTTTGCAGTGTGAGAGCCGACACAGGCAGTGGCAGCTGGGAACGTGTGCCTCAGGAGACTCAAAGTTTAGCCCAAACGTTTTGCATGTAAGTACTGATTTGGTGGTTACCAAAAAAAAAAGAAAGAAAAGAAAA